TCCGTCATCGGATGACCTTTCACCTTCTAAACCCGTCTGACAACAGTGTGACCTTCCTTCAGCATGTTTGGTTCCGGTTCACGTAAACCAGACGCTTATGATTTCCCGTTTTGGTTTATGTGCCAGGAGATCAATGGAGTTGATCAAAGAAACTTATCCCTGCACAACCTAAAACAAACCTGGACTGTGTGCTTTGTAGCTTGACTCTGTGGATGATTGCTGCCAGCACAGACTTATAGTTGTCTGTTACTAACACCTGGCTGTGGGTAGACCACCAGAGTCAACCTGAATGATTGTTACAGCAATCCATGGTATAGTCCATAACATCTCATAGCTGTGTATTTGGCTGTGTCACCTCTACGTTTCTGTTCGTGGATTATGTTCTTAGCCAGCAGGATTTGAATTGTTCTAGATGTAAAACAATCAATTATACTTTATATATGTTTTTTCGAAATTAAGGATTATTATATTTAACATGTTCGGGTAATATTGTGATCGCTATCATTGTGTGACTTGCCAAACGGTATAAACGGTTATGTCCCGTCACATAATCTCGGTTCTTAGTGCTCTGGCCAGCGGTTTCTCAAACTAGGTGCCGCAGAACCCTGGGTTGCCGCGAAAGTATGCGAGGGGTGCCACGGCACGAACGAACGTACACACTTTACTTTAAAACGGTTAACACTGGGACACACAGGTCCGTCCTAACATTCTGCCCTAAAAGATAAAGATCTAAAAAGAATATATTCGCTGCCTCCTTGTAGACAGAAACGACTAATTAAACGTTTCCTTAGAAGTTAGTGTGCATCTACCAGAGGCAATTAATCAAAACTCTGTATACAAATAATATAGGTCTGTAAAACGGATTTATGTGCAAACTCAAGTTCTTTTATAGACAACAGTCCAGAAGTGGTCGAACAACTTGAACTTAATGCCAGAGAATACAGCCGATGAACTCAACGAAGAATATAAATACAGAAACAGAAACGATGACCAAACCAAAACAAAATTAAGCAAAATGGAGACAACTACTATACACATAATAGTAACAATATTAACAGTTACGACAACATTAGAAACGATGACGTCAACAACGACAACAACAGTGACCAAAACGACGACAACAAAAATTATTAAAATATCAAAAAGGAAAACATCAAAAAGTGATTATAACAGTTGACTAGACCAATAATAACAATAGTGACGACCACACCAACAATGGATTATAGCTATATCAATAGTGGTGACAACAAGAGAGGATTTATACAGTTGGAACAATGATGAAGACAACAAAAAAGTTGATAATAACAACAATGATGAAGACAACAAACAGTTGATAATAACAACAATGATAAGGACAACAAACAGTTGATAATAACAACAATGATGAAGACAACAAAACAGTTGATAATAACAACAATGATAAAACCAACATCAGCATCATCATAAAGTGCCTTGCCGATTGGCAGGGGCGACAATCTTCGTTATTCAACTATGTATAAGTTCGTAAGTTGACACTACTCTATGCCATGACATAAAGGCCTGTCAGTAATCAGCTCGCCTTGTCTTCCTCTGTCTCACGTACTACAGATATCTCTCTGAGCCACAACATGTTCCAGTTGTCCTCTTCTCATAACACGACCCAAAATGATGCTGTTCTAGTGTTTTTGATAAGTTGTCTTAGAGCCCTCGTCATTTACATAATATATGGGTCGTCTTTTTCGCTGTCCATGGCATTTTAAGGATTCTTCTGTAAAACCACATGTCGGAGGCCTCAAGATACTGTTGTTTATTAATTGTCCGGGATTACCAGCGATATGTTAAAACTGGCTCTATAAAACATGCAATAATTTTTTTTTCCTAACCTTCAATGGCACAGATTTATTGCATAAAATGTTCTACATTTTGTAAAATGCAGGTTTGGCCTGTCCTTTTCTTTTAGTCTCAGTGATATATTTTCTGTCGGAAGTTATCCAAGTGCCTAGATTTTTTCCATTTATGTATTTGTCCTAGAATAGCGACTGTAACTTTTATTATGTATTTTATAGACTGTTTTTTTTTAAATTTGATGATGTAATTTTTTTCGTCTGTTTTCCTATTATTCAAGCTGAGTCCCATTTTATCACTTTCTCCCACCACTGTATCTATCAATCTCTGTAGTTCTTTCTGACTCGTCGCTACCAAGGCTTTGTTAATCAGCATAACATATGCTTTTTTTGTTCTGACCATCAACCACCATTCCTGGCATTTGATGACAACAAGTGAATGTAATTATATAGCAGTGTTAACGGAAGCAAAAATGACTATAATTATGTTAACAATGATGACCACAATAACAACTGTATGTATAACATAACAAAAACATCAACTATGACGTCAATTTATTCATGTTTTAAAGTGGATAATTCTCATAACCTCACTCAGATGTCTGCATTTTTACTCACTTAAACATTCCATTCCAGATTTTTATAAGACTGTTAGTGAGCTCATCGTCTGACCAACCATGGTCATCAACTGGTTCAGTATAAGCAAAGCTGTTGCCGTGAGGTGTCTGCTTACCTTCCACGCAATCATGTGTTTCTGGAGAGTGGTGCTTGACCTCAGGGATTCGAACTACTGGCTGCTCTTGTGTGGTCTCCTGCCGCTGGTTTGTGAAACCTGCTACACTTTGATCAGGCGTCAGGGGGTTGAGTTCCCTAGGTGAGTGCTTGCGATGGAACTATTTATTGTCTGTTTGATGGTTTTCCTCTGTCACCTGTAGGATGCTGTCTCTCTGTATTAATTCTTCCTTACTCAAAGAGATGTTGGAATAAATACACATTCGAGATACGAAGATAACGTTATAGACAACCCAGGAATAAACAATAAGTAAATATACAGTTGTGATTTTAACGTCTAGAAATGTATTTAGCACATATTGCAAATCAAAAACATTGTATTCGATAAATGTTAGTGTCAATATCATGCCAGTAAAAATTGTATAAATGTTAGTGTCAATATAATCCAGTAGAAATTCGATAAATTTTAGTATCAATATCATGCCAGTAGGAATTGGATAATATTTAGTGTCAATATCATGCCAGGAGGAATTCGATAAATTTTAGTGTCAGTATCATGCCAGTAGGAACTGGATAAAATTTAGTGTCAATATCATGCCAGTAGGAATTGGATAAAATTTAGTGTCAATATCATGCCAGTAGGAATTGGATAAAATTTAGTGTCAGTATCATGCCAGTAGGAATTGGATAAATTTTAGTGTCAATATCATGCCAGTAGGAATTGGATAAAATTTAGTGTCAATATCATGCCAGTAGGAACTGGATAAAATTTAGTGTCAATATCATGCCATTAGGAATTGGATAAAATTTAGTGTCAATATCATGCCAGTAGGAATTGGATAAAATTTAGTGTCAGTATCATGCCAGTAGGAATTGGATAAATTTTAGTGTCAGTATCATGCCAGGAGGAATTCGATAAACTTTAGTGTCAGTATCATGCCAGGAGGAATTCGATAAACTTTAGTGTCAGTATCATGCCAGGAGGAATTCGATAAACTTTATTGTCAGTATCATGCCAGGAGGAATTCAATAAACTTTAGTGTCAGTATCATGCCAGGAGGAATTCGATAAACTTTAGTGTCAGTATCATGCCAGGAGGAATTCGATAAACTTTAGTGTCAGTATCATGCCAGGAGGAATTCAATAAACTTTAGTGTCAGTATCATGCCAGGAGGAATTCGATAAACTTTAGTGTCAGTATCATGCCAGGAGGAATTCGATAAACTTTAGTGTCAGTATCATGCCAGGAGGAATTCAATAAACTTTAGTGTCAGTATCATGCCAGGAGGAATTCGATAAACTTTAGTGTCAGTATCATGCCAGGAGGAAATCGATAAACTTTAGTGTCAGTATCATGCCAGGAGGAATTCGATAAACTTTAGTGTCAGTATCATGCCAGGAGGAATTCGATAAACTTTAGTGTCAGTATCATGCCAGGAGGAATTCGATAAACTTTAGTGTCAGTATCATGCCAGGAGGAATTCGATAAACTTTAGTGTCAGTATCATGCCAGGAGGAATTCGATAAACTTTAGTGTCAGTATCATGCCAGGAGGAATTCAATAAACTTTAGTGTCAGTATCATGCCAGGAGGAATTCAATAAACTTTAGTGTCAGTATCATGCCAGGAGGAATTCAATAAACTTTAGTGTCAGTATCATGCCAGGAGGAATTCAATAAACTTTAGTGTCAGTATCATGTCAGGAGGAATTCGATAAACTTTAGTGTCAGTATCATGCCAGGAGGAATTCGATAAACTTTAGTGTCAGTATCATGCCAGGAGGAATTCGATAAACTTTAGTGTCAGTATCATGCCAGGAGGAATTCGATAAACTTTAGTGTCAGTATCATGCCAGGAGGAATTCAATAAACTTTAGTGTCAGTATCATGCCAGGAGGAATTCAATAAACTTTAGTGTCAGTATCATGCCAGGAGGAATTCGATACATTTTAGTGTCAGTATCATGCCAGGAGGAATTTGATACATTTTAGTGTCAGTATCATGCCAGGAGGAATTCGATACATTTTAGTGTCAGTATCATGCCAGGAGGAATTCGATAAACTTTAGTGTCAGTATCATGCCAGGAGGAATTCGATAAACTTTAGTGTCAGTATCATGCCGGGATGGAATTTCAATAAACTTTAGTGTCAGTATCATGCCAGGAGGAATTCGATAAACTTTAGTGTCAGTATCATGCCAGGAGGAATTCGATAAACTTTAGTGTCAGTATCATGCCAGGAGGAATTCGATAAACTTTAGTGTCAGTATCATGCCAGGAGGAATTCGATACATTTTAGTGTCAGTATCATGCCAGGAGGAATTCGATAAATGGTAGTGTAGTAGTGTAGTAAATATACAGTTGTGATTTTAACATCTAGAAATGTATTTGGCACATATTGCAAGTCCAAAACATTGTATAGACCAGTAGAAAATGGATACATTTTAGTGTCAATATCATGCCAGTAGGAATTCGATAAATGGTAGTGTCATTATCATGCCTGACTTCTTTATTCTCTGTGACGCTTCCTAATGCCAACAGGGCTGGACTGAGCTGGGGTCACAGGAAAATTAAAAATAGACTTGCCAAGGTTATTTTCACACCTGTCTGATGTATGCGTTATAGGTGTCCCTATTATAGCCCCCTGGGATCTACCTTATTGGACTGCCGTCCAGAATGAGATTTGTAATTCTCTGGATGGTATGGTGAACTTGTAGATATCAGCTCCAATAAAACAAATAAGGGGAAAGAACAAGTTACATGTGGATGATTTAAATATGTATCCGTCCGTCAATGATGCTTCCAGTTATGGTACTGATTCCTATGACAAAGCGTCGGGCGTTGAAAATAAAGTGTATATTTTAAAAAGAATTTACAACAAGCTCTCAAACATCCTGCGGCTTTACGGCTTTGGAATGAGGAAAACCGTCTCCTAGTTCAATCCTTGATTTTCACTAGGGTATGATTTCCCAAGAGCGTGGTTCTGTAAAAGACCGCTGTCGTGGTTTTCATACAGTGGTACGAGAGTTGCACCATGGAAGAGATTGGGAGCATCACCAGATAATATTTCCACAGGCAGCAGCAGAGTCATTGCATCCAGACTTTGTGTGTGTGAGTGTGTATGTGTGTGTGTGAGTGTGTGTGTGAGTGTGTGTGTGAGTGTGTGTGTGAGTGTGTATGTGTGTGTGAGTGTGTGTGTGATTGTGTGTGTGAGTGTGTGTATAAGTGTGTGTGTGTGAGTGTGGCTTTGTGTGTGACTGTGTGTGTACGTGTGTGTGTGTGAGTGTGTGTTAGTGTGTGTGTGTCTCTGTGTGTTTGTGTGTCTGTGTGTGTCTGTGTGTGTCTGTGTGTGTCTGTGTGTGTTTGTGTGTCTGTGTTTGTCTGTGTTTGTCTGTGTTTGTTTGTGTGTGTGTGCGTGTGAGTGTGTTTGTGAGTGTGTGTTTGAGTGTGTCTGTGTGTGTGTATGTGTGTGTGAGTGTGTCTTTGTGTGTGTGTGTAAGTGTGTCTGTGTGTGTGTTTGTGTGTGTGTGTCCGTGTGTGTGAGTGTGTCTGTGTGTGTGAGTGTGTGTGTGTGTGTGTTTCTCTGTTTGTGTGTGTGTGTCTGTGTGTGTGTGGTGACGGTGCGTATTTGTCTGGAAGTTTGATTCCAGTGTTAACACTGCGGTGCAGTTTCCGAAAAGCCAGAGGGCGACCCCCGCAAAATGGACATAGAAGAACATTGGGGATAAGTTGACCATTGAGACACATGGCGCTAGAGAACTGGCCAGAGGAAAAAAAGATATACAGGCGTGCCTTGAAGAGAGCGACGTTCTATGATGTCCAGTCTTTAGATATTTGTTTACATGATAATTGGAGCATACGTCAGAATGTGTTTTCTGTTTAGCCCCTATCAGACAGAACAGTATGACAGAAGACAACATGTCCTTGCGTGACGACAACATATAAATCAACAGCCTAATTTCTGTTGCACGCATGGTTTCACTGTTACATATGTATTTTGTAAGGCATTCATTTTAAATTACGTTTACAAAATTATAATTTTTTAAACTGCGCGAAGAATGGCAAAACAGCAGGCAAAGGTCAAATGTGTTACCGAGGTCTGTATGGGAAACACATAACAAGTAAAACTGCTAGAAAGAGAGGATAAGAAATTGGGTAGGCTTGTGAGTGAAGAACTTATCCCTTCGGAAATGTAAAGCGAATGATCTAACAAGTCAGTCACTAATACGTCTATGATATTCTTTGCCTGACTTTGTAAATGGCTCAGTCTGCTATGGTAGACGAAAGGGAAAAGAAGAGATAAACTCAGAAAAAGATAAAAAGTAGAAGTATGTGTGTCCTAGTTGTGTTTTGTGTGTGTGTGCTTGTTTATATATATATATATATGTGTGTGTGTGTGTGTGTGTGTGTGTGTGTGTGTCATCGGCAGTTCCGCTCTACATATGTTTATCCAACAGAATTAAAAACATATTAGCTGTGTATAGAGATTACCGGCACGTATAAAAGAAGACTGCATAACTCAATCCAAGCGTGGCCTGCAGTTATTCTTCTGTATTATGGCAACAGGAACCTTAGATGTTCAGTGGCTGAGTGGATTATCATATCAGGAAGTCCATCTCTGCCTCGTGCAGACCAGGTTCGGTTCCCATATTAGACTGCGAATGTGTACACACAGGAAAATGATAGTATTATTCTGGCTGGTTCTAGTGTAGTGAATGGCACCTCTAGCCTTCTCAGATAACGCTCAAAACTCTGTTCAGGTTTAATGCTCATTAAATGTTACGCGGAAGCTGCTAAATGGAAAGAGCTGACATGTATGTCGCCGTCCAAATACAATAAGAAAACACACCACACACCTTCTAGTTACAGTGATTTGGTGTTCTGACATGTAGGTCTTCGCCGGTGCCACGGAGATTGTGCATCAAGCATTCAGTTAATCGTAGGCATTGAAAGAGATCCTAACAGAGTCATACAGTACTTAAGCTGCAGCAAATAATGGGAGAGTATTAAAATATTTTTTAGTTGAGAGAAACAATTGATCAGTCAACAGTAACTAGATGACCCAGCGAAACAAAATAGTGTGGGACTATGTAGAAGCGATAAGAACCAATGTCGATTTACACTAAATGTAGACATTGATAAGCCACTCGAGAACACGTGTGGTAAAATATTTCTAACAAATAAACAGGTAAAGCTAAAGTAACAGTTAAACTTGAAGTGTCACCTGGAGATGTATATTCGCTAGGATGTAATCCTGTCCTTGTTTGGCTTCTAGACGTTTCTAACCTACATCATATCGCTGGCGATGGGGCGGGTTGTTACTATTGACATTCTGGATCTGTTGCCAGCGGTAAGAATGTTACTGAGCACTAACCTCTTCACCAGCTTGCAGAGTTTCAGCGGAAACTGAGATTAAATGGCAAATACCGTCGAGCGTGATGACATTCTCCAAGTACAGACATTCTTTGACTGGGTCAGAGTACCTCAGCGCAGTAGATGTCCGCTTGTCTGACCGCCTAAAGGTCTTAAGTTCGAATATGCAGTCTGTCAACAAAATCATGCCGTTTTGAAACACCCTACTCCACTCCACTTTCTGGAGTGACAGGCAGGCAGCACTACATGAGATCTTCATTCGTCGATGAATTTCTATATGTGTCACCCCTTCATTGAAAAGACGGATAACAGAAAGCTTCTCCTCTGTGGTGAATGTCATAGCTGGGGTAGCCATCATTAAACTGGCATTACGACAACATCATGTTCGTCTACATTCTGATGTCACATGCTTAACACTCTTTACATCCTGAACAACAATATTGACAGGTTATAAGGCAATGGCATGGTTATGGTAATTTCTGTTACCCTGTCACTGTTTTCTTCTGAAGTCCTCTAGTACTAAATGACATTTGCTCCGTGACTCACACAGACAAAAATGGCTGACAAATAGACTTCTTTTGTCAAATCTGCGTGTGCCGACCCAAAATATCATAAGAAGAAAAATAAGGCAGTCAGTATTAGATACCATGATGCAGCTCAAGTGTCCGGGGTTTCAAACTTCTTGTCTCATGGCTGTTGAGTTTCGACGTCATTTAATAATCTGTTATGCAGACTACGTTGTAAAGAAAGTTTGGATAGTTTTTTAACGATTATGGTATAAAAAATCACATGATAGTCCTCATCTCTTTTTTTACAGCCATTCTCTATACGCTTTCAGTAGCAGTCTTCTCTCGTGTTCTTTTAAGGTTCTCGAGCATAGGTATAAAGGAAAATATCATAAAAAACACAATGGAGAAGAGATACCGCTGGAGCAGGGGGTCCAACTGGTGAGGGCTGTAGAAACGATGGGGATAACATGGGGAGCAGCTCCATGCAAAGAAGCGGAAGGATATAAAAACTTGGCGTGAGTTTACCAAGTTAATCGCTTTCAGGCCTAAGTGTCCATTGGGGGATAGAAACTGCTTGAGATCACCCATCTTCGAAGGCGCTTTAGAAACTTTCAAACAGGGATGGCCTTAGGAGGCAGGAGTTAAAGTATTAAAACTAATGGATGACCCTAAAGTAAACTGTTGGATCTGTTATATTATTTTAAAAGCTGACTGTTTCATTGCTAGTTCAGAACAGTAATGTCATGCTAGGGGAAACCAATAAAGGGTAGGATAGAATCACTGATTTAGAGCTTTGGGAGAGAACTAAACAAGTTCCAGTGGACCAAGAGGTGGAGAAAAGACGTGACGTTGGATAGGACACACACTGAGAAAACCTGAGAACAGTATAACTAGAATGACTTTGCGCTGGAACCCTGGAGAGCATAGGAATAAAGGAAGAAGAAAAACGCATGGAGAAAGGTGCTAGAGAGTGCGGTTAAAAAGCACAGTACAACCTGCACAACGTATAAACAAGGGCTCAACGGAGAGCCACCTCCGATTCTGATACCAGTCAGGTTCTGAGCGGCCTTGTTCAAGGTCACAATGACCTGAGGTCACTGGAGTACACAAGTCGCTAAAGTTTTCCAAATCACTCCGTAAATGCCAACAATAGTTGACAGATATGGTAATTATGTGTAAGCAAACGTGATGACAAGCTTTAGCAGAGTGGACAACACTGGAGGGTTGGAATAACACTAGAGGGTTGGTATAATACTGGAGGGTTGGAATAACACTGGAGGGTTGGTATAATACTGGAGGGTTGGAATAACACTGGATGGTTGGAATAACACTAGAGGGTTGGCATAATACTGGAGGGTTGGAATAACACTGGAGGGTTGGCATAATACTGGAGGGTTGGCCCAACACTGGCATGTTTGTCCCGTAACACGTTTTAGCAGCAGCCTTAATCAAGTTATAAAATGCTTGATCAGAATTAGCAGTGGGTCTATATTATGTTGAACAATGAAGGCGACAAGAAGAAGAAGAAGAAGCAGCAACAGAAGCAGAAGAAGAAGAAGAAGAAGAAGAAGAAGAAGAAGAAGAAGAAGAAGAAGAAGAAGAAGAAGAAGAAGAAGAAGAAAGAAGAAGAAATAGAAGAAGAAAAAGAAAAAAAAAGAAGAAGAAGAAAAAGAAGAAGAAGATGACGATTGTAATGACCCTCTGTAATCTCAGTCTCTGGCTCTAGTTATTTGCAGACTTCTCCATTGTACACTGACATGTTATAACTCAGCATGTTGAACAACCAACATTGCGGACGCCACTCAGGTGATCGCTGTCAATGTTTTTATTCATTCACACACAAGTGGCTTGTCTATCATTGCACACATAGGAATTACCACTTCAAGGTTAAATAACCTGGGCCACTTGACAAAGCAACACCTGAATTCATCAATTTATGTTATCTTTAGTGCATGAAATATCAGCACAATCCACGTAGACGTTTTGACATTCACAAACCACCCAGACTGACAGCAGTCGACGACATCCAAGCTTGACAGGAAATGGAATCGACGGGATAGCCAGGGTTCCAGGAAAAACTCGCAGTCAAACTCGGTACAAGTGTTCACTAGCAATTAGATTCCTTTAGCATTTTACTCCGTAATCCTCACCGTTCGAGAGTCGACACAAACTAGAACAAGACTGAACCCAAGACTGAGCCATTCTGGTCATCTCGATCATTCCAGGCGTTAAATAATCTTTCTTAACCACATGGTCCAGATTATCCACGGCCGTGATTCTAACACTCTTTCATTTTGCACGGTTTGTGCAATTTGCTCATTTGGCCAACATTATTTCAGGCACAACGATTCTTCCTCGATTTTCATTCACCGGAGCTCACGTACATAATGCATAATCAATATCTGACATCATTGCTAACATAACATAAATTTTAAAGAACAAAAAGATCACTACAGCAATGATGATGATGAGAAGGAGGCAAATTAGACGAGAAAGATTTTGATGAAAAAAAAAAGAGGAGAAGACGGAGAAGGAAAGGGAGAGGAAGAAGAAGGCGATGCGCTAGACTATAGGATAACAAGAATAAGAAGAAGGAGGAGGAGGAAGAGGAAGGGGAGAAGGATTGCGACAAAGTGGAAAATGAGAAAATGATGATGTGATTGAGAAGAATGTGGAAGAGAAGAATTATGTAATACAAGTACCGCTTTTCTTGAGGCAGAAGAAAACGAAAAACGTCAGTAAAATATAAGACCTTAATTAAAAATTTTTCTCTTATTTCACAGGTTTACGCCCTGCTTTCTCTGCTATCTGATGGCGGTTCTGCCAGGCATATGGCTCTTGGAACTCCACAAGACAGATCAATACATTTGGTCCAAGAATAACAATACACTACAGGCTGAGGAACAAAATAAGTCCTCTGAATTTTTTATCTTCCATGAGGTAAGGTTTAGTAAGACACCGACAATCTTTTAGGGAATATGATCCTGTATTCTTCTTCCTCTGTGGGTTCTGTGGCCCCATTTCATTGGGTTGGGGAGTGGGTTGCGGAGGATAGACCCATTGGCTTCTTTAAAAAGCATGTTCTAAAAGGCTACGAATTAGACGTGTTTCTATTAGAAGTTGGGGTTTATCTATATGGGAGGCGAGCAACCAACAATATACACACAATAGGCTAAATCTGTAAAACGGATTGTCATGTAAGATGCAAGTTTTGGAGCAAGACCACAGAACTGGACGAACCACCAGGATTTCGGCCGAGGTTTTGAGCCAGTGAACGGGAAAACGAGTAGGAAGCAGTGTCTATTCTTCGTGTTCTTAAAATCTGTTCTACGTTGACATTTGTAACCATTAGTATCCACAGACCTCTACCACACATAAAGTGCAAATCCAGTGTTCGTCATTATCTGTTCCTGAGCGAAGGACGAATGTTAAAAAGGACGAATATCAAATGAGTTCTTCCCATTTGAATTGACTAATATTGATTCTAATCCGTTTCCAGACCTGAATTTGCTTATCTACTCATTTACAACCACATTTCACTAGAAAATCGAATTAATTTCTCTACAACACTATTTGCTTGTACCATTTAAGTTTATATTCTACTTTCCTCCTATATTCTCCCCATTTCATTTACATTTTATCAGCATATTTTCAAGTGTACATTTAATAATTCTATCACATAAAATCCTGTTCTATAATATTTCATGATACAACAATGAACTTCATTCACAGAAAAATAATGGTTGTTTCACTCTTGTATTTATTCTCCAGATGTTAGATTCCAAAACCTGGCTGATTGTCATTGAAGAGATGTTAACTTACGTCATGTTTGCCAGTCGGTGGGTTCTGCCCAGAGGGCGAGTCCGCAGAGAGGAACTTGCAGAACTTCTGTTTGCTTTTATCGAAATCGCCGCAGATATCATGGAGTTTTTCTCTCTGATTGGCGAAGACGTCATTAGAAAAGATAAGACATTGTCATTTTGGGTTCTTGGTATCTGGTCGCTGTCCATACTTCAGTTCACAATGACTGTCACAGTCATACACCAGCCCAAGAAGGAGAAAAAGGTCACGGTCGTTGTTATAGAGTCAGACACTGACAAGCAACGGGAGCGGGTTCGACACGAATGTTTTGCTATTTTCCTGACTATGGCCATGCAAGATCTGCCATTTGCAATTATGCGACTATATACTATCATCAAGTTCAGCTACATCAACTACAGCTTGATTTTCTTCACTTCTAAAAATTTGATTATCATTATGCTGCTTTTGTACAAAGTGATTGCTGTGTGTAAGAACCAATACCGGCAACATGCTGAAGATCATGCTGGCGACACCGTCAAGAGAAAAACAGCAAAAACTGATGGGGCAGAGAAAGGGTTCAATAACTTACAAAACATCTTTGCCACATCGAAGCCTGGCGGGGTAGGTGATCAAAAAATAGAAGACCGTCAGAATGAAGAGCACACTGAAAGCAATCACAGTAATGAAAGTGTAGATTATGTCCTTGAAGAAAAGATCCCGTAAGCCAGAGACTCCAAATGGTGGATCACCATCCAGTGAAAGTACAACTCAAAGTTTTGTCAGAAGCACAACAGAGTCAGAAGACACAGTTTCTCGCAAGTCCTCTCTACAGAAAAAGGACGATACGACGTACAATCCACAACTTTGTCTCAGCTGTTTATCACGCATAGAAAACATGTCAGCTTTCCTCAACAACTGGAACATAATGAATCTCTCTGGCGATTTCAGAAATCTATCACGTCCAGATAGTTTGTCACATCTGCCTAATGAAACTGAAGATGTACAGAACATTTCTTGTCACAGCCAAGACGTTCAGGAAGGAAACACAGTCAAGACACAAGAGCCCAAACAAAGTGATGACATTCTCAGTCAGATTCCGGAGAGTCCAGTGTCATGTCTTGTATTTTCGATAGGTAGCAAACAGCGGCAGTTGTTGAACTGTGGTCGAGCAGATGTGTCTGAATAAATGTCAAATACAGGTTTAGAATATCACCATTGTTACAACATGTAAAGTTATCATAACAATAAATACGTCTATTGTGTAAAGTTTATCGTTTGCCAATTTTGATACGCTTATTTGGAATGCAAAACACAAATATCCATCATATCTCTTTTATTTCCAGCCACCACCATGCAGCAGTAAGACTTATTTTCAAGAATCACTGGCCAGATTCGTTGTTCTAGTTTCTGCTAGGCAACATAAATGCCAGATGTCAGTGTTATTTATCCACGTGTAGCTTTGACGACCAAACGTTATTTTGTACACTCAACATTTGCCATCAAGAGAGGTGTGAAGTAGCTATGCTACTAAATTATGATATCTTTTTCATTTGTATTTCTTTTAGCTGTTATCTTTTACGTATATTTGAGTCATGATTGGTTTTTTATTTTTTTTTTAAGTTATGATATTCCCTCATTTTTTTAAATTTTCCTGTAACATATGCTATCATCTACTGTCATTGTTTGGCCACGCCAGACGCAACTCTTGATAGCCTCTACAGTGTATCAATATTTATGTTCAAATCACTTTGGACTTCCATCTGTTCGTAGTGTCATTACTGTTGATGTTATGATTAGACCAAAGCTGTTTATCAAAGACAGGCACAGTCCCGGTTCAGCGACAGAAATGTCTCTTGCTTTGAGAACAATACGTCTCTGGAATAGATACCCCAGTCATAAAACACATTTGTTATAATTTTTATTTTAAACTTGCTCTGAACGGTTTTGGAAGGAAAGGCAGCGAGATAATGAACTACGCATCTTACATTTATACTGACTAGAGTGTTTGAAGACCCAACACTCCACAGCTGAATGGTAGAATCTAATCCAGATCTACATTGCATCTTGACGTACAGCATCATTGTTACACTAAGCTGTAACCTTAGCTGAGCTCCTGTGGTCATATAAGATTTCGCATTTAAATCCTAATTTTGTCCACGTTTCATCAAGTGGTCTCGTGTTGTAGGACTATAAAGTACATTGGGATTGCTTCTTGTGTAGTAAGATTTCTCAAGTATGTTTTGCCACAACTTGAAAGTTAGAATATCCATAGTTTATCGTTTAGAACACACGGGTAATAGCCAACAGCACACCAGAAGTCGTTGGTGAAAGTAGCACACAGATGGAGGACACCTGGGTGACTCGTGACAGCCTTTACCTTGCCTTTGAATCATCCTTAACAAAACCTCAAAAGAAAAAGCAAACATGAAAGACATCACTGATCAGGAAAACCATTACACTTGTCATCCTCTTAGTGAGATGCTTAACATGTAATTTAATAAGTGAGATTACGTTATTCTTTTTAGCTGTGGATTTTTGACAATCATCAGCAAGAAATCTTTTGCCTAGTGTGACGACCTTCTGTTTACATCTATACGATGTTTAAACCAATTATCAGTTCATGTTACTTGTTACTTGACATACGTATCGACTTCATAGCACATAGGTCTTACTTGTTTGTGATCAATCCTCCGATACACATGCAGTGCTTGTGTCTCTCTTCCTGCTCGTCGCACGCACCCAGTAGGAGTTGATGTGCATAACGTCTTTCCTTGCCGCACAACCCGTTTTTCATGTTTTTCCTTGTTTAACACCCATTTCCAACTGGCGGCTGGTCGTCAGTTAGAGCTTTGTCTCACCGTCTCAGAAACCGAGAGACGGCAATTCATGTGTTGACAGTTTTGTATGATTACATTTTTTTTTAAAAAGTATCTGCTCTCTAGCTGTAATTTTATATGCCCTGTCTGTAAATATGTCTAATGTTTGCATGTTCCAGTCTTCAACTTCTTATAATGTGATTAAAACTGACCCTTGGAGAGCGTCCTGATGTAGCGGTTAAATGCTCGTCTGCGGCTCTAAAGTTCGTGTGTTCAATTCTGCATGGTGTCGGATTGGCTCCCACGTCAACTCACCCTTAACTGGGTACCAGTTAAAGTCACTGGAAGTAAAAGCGGCCGGTGTGATGTTGACCACATTACATATTGGTCTATACAAATATAAATCTACCATCATATAACCGATGCACTATTGGCATGTAGAGGGACTTCTTCTTCTGTGTTTACGCTGTCTGTCTGATATCGACAATTGATGTAACTCTGTGACTTCAACTTTAAATTTGAATTTTGTAAACTTAATGCATTTAGCACTGGTTTCAGAGATCAGAGAAAGTGGAAACGCAACCAACGAGGCAACTCAACAACCAGTCACAACCGAGCAACACAGAAACCCAACGTCCATTCAACTCAAAACCAAACAAACATTCAACCCAGAAAGCAATCAACTCAGCAACCGATCATCCAATCATTTAGATTCTTTTGTACATGAAAACTATATATTGTTGTTTACACATGAATACACTGCATTCATACTTGCATGTTAACATACATGTTTTATCTGAATTTGATAACGTCAGAACATTGATTGGTGAAATAAACGATATCTTATGATATAATATTTGTGTATTTTTTGTATAAATACAATATATCGTTAACTATAGGCGTCTGATTTGGACATATAAAAACATATATATATATATAAAACATATAGGTGTGAAGAATGAAAGTGTTACACACACAAACATAAGACATCGATATGCGAAGGTGGCGTGTGATTCACACGCAAACGTAAGAAGGCATGGATGTCTGGGGGACGGCGTTGTTTTTCAGATAAAGACACCGTATCGGCGAGTAAGAGTTGGATGTATTATTACACATATATAAACACAATATTATGAATGGGAACAAAGCATGTGTTGGACAGTAAAGGGGTTACTATATAAGAAAGCAAACCTACCCCAGACAGCAGTGATTGGAGTGAACCTGATTATTAGGGATGTACCGAATGGTGATTTTCACTATTCGGCCGAATACGAATAGTAGGACCAACTATTCGGCCGAATACGAATACGAATAGTGTATCATCATCATCAGGTGCCTTGCCGACTGGTGTTGGTGATTTTGCCTCGCCACAATCTGCGATCTCCTGCAGCATGTATCAGTTCGTGCGCTGACACACCTCCATGACATACAACGACTGTCAAGAATCTTCTCTCGTTGTCTTTTTCTATCTCTCCTTCCACAAATATTTCCAGTGGTCACCACATGTTCCATTTTCACTCTTCCTATAACATGGCCGAAAAATGATGACTGTCTCCTTCTGATGTCTGTGATTAGTTGTCTTCGGGCTCCCGCCTCTTTCAAAACCTAGTGGTTGCTTTTTTTTTGGCTGTCCAAGGTATTTTAAGCATTGTTCTGTAAAACCACATCTCTGAGGCCTCAAAAAATTGTTTGGCCTGGCTACCGATTGTCCAGGATTCATAGCCATATGTTAAAACTGGATGTATGTAGCAAGCAAGACAAAGATATATTGCATAAGATGTTCTTTTTTCTAAATATAAAATGCAGTTTTTGACTGTCCTATTTTTTATTTTTTATTTTAGTAATGCATCTTTCATCTGATTTTATCCGTGTGCCAAATTCGCATTTAAATCATCGTTCGTTCAGGCATTTGTTCGATGTAATTTAAATGCACCTCCATTTTCTCGTTCGCAATATCTTCAATTTGATTTGGGCAAAGACACCCCGAAAGAACGAAAAATGCATGCTCTCTCTCTCTCTCTCTCTCTCTCTCTCTCTCTCTCTCTCTCTCTCTCTCTCTCTCTCTCTCTCTCTCTCACACACACACACACACACACACAAACACACACACGGATACACTTTCAAGTTTCTTCATGCCTTCTTTAACACAACGGTAGCGTTGCCTAAATCTATCGTAGGGGGGAAAACTGCGACCCGGTTGCGCCTGCTGACTCCAAGGCATTACAGCAGAGGCTCTAAAACTGGGTGCGTATGCCAGGGGTGCCGCGGTAAAAATCACGAAAAGTCTGCTATAAATTGTGACATTATTAATGAGAGAGTTATTTCAGTCCAGCGCAGTGTATGCACAAATCACTATTCGTATTCGGCCCGACCGCCACTATTCGGCCGAATACCGAGCAGCTAGTAGGTCCACTATTCGGCCCCGAAGCGAATACGAAGCGAATATTCGGTACAGCTCTACTGATTATAATTACTTTTTGGTCATCTTATGAGAAGGAGACAACTAGAGCTCATTGTGACCGTGGGAAAGTTGGAGGGGAAGAGAGACAGAGTGAGAGCGAGAGAGAGGATACTTGAGAGTTTGACATCATGGCATGAAGGCTTGAGGAAAACTTTCGGTTGGTGCTGAGAATTATAACAGGAGCTGCAAATTTAGTTTAGGGCGGGGGGTCTTGAAAAACAGATGATGCTGTAATTTAGTTGGCGATAATAGTTCTTTGAATAGTTGTAGGATCCTTTAGCCGAAAATGCACTGATAAATAAATGTTATTGTATCTAAGATGTATAATTTAAAAAGATGACGGAAATCTGATTTAAAGTAATACGACCGTTTATTTAGGTAACAATGACTGGACAGTTAAAAATGTTGCTCACAAAATGTTTAGCGATGAGTGAGGTCTATCGTTACGGAAGTCTAGACAGAATCAAATATACTCCGATCTCTCCTTCTCAGTAGCTGTACAAACGTAGGACGATCTGGTAACGCATCTTCTGAGCTCATTATTGACATTTTCCTCTAGACACGAGAGGAATTAACAATACATTAATTAATTACGTTTCTTAAATCTGACAAACGTTTCAATGAACGTAATCCTATATTTGGTGCTCATCTTAAAGTAAACAAAGATATTCACGCTAGAATTGATTGCACTAGTTACAAAAGCCACTGACCAGGTGGTGAAAAACAGATTCTGCAGCTTTCCACTAATGCTGAACTCCGGGTCATATGTCATCATGAAAAAGTTGGCCGACGCTGGTATGAAGCAGAAGACAAATATGGTGGAAATCATTGCAACCATCTTGACAACTTTCTTCTCCTTAGCAGAACTGACATCAACATTGGACTTGGCTGTCGCAACTGATCTCTGCCTCCATTTTGTTTTCTTATTCAACATGACGATGAGAACGATTGTGCAAATGGCCACCGAGACGAGAAAAAACGTCGACAAAGCTACACTGTGTACAAGAAACGTCACAGATTCAACTATCTCCCGATCTTTGGAGAACGTAATTCCTAGTATGGTTCGATTCTTCACCAGGTCGTATCTCCACTCGAGTTTATTGACGAAATAGAATGGACAGAAGACAATGACCATGATACCAAACACGGATACATTGACAGCTTTTGTCCTGGAGTGAGTAATGACTTGTTTCACTTTCAGAGGCATGGCGATGCAAAGGCATCTCTCAAATGTAATGAAGACGGTAATACAGCTGGTAATTCTGCTTTTTGTTTAAAAAAAAAAAAAAGGGAGGAATGAAACAGTTCGATATATTATTTACAAAATTACCGTCGGCAGATTAGAAATAAATATAATTTACACAATAATTACGAGTGGTTAAAGAGAAAGAAGAAAATATAATTTACACAAATAGTACGAGTGGTAAAATTTAAATATTTGAAAATAATTTACACAAACAATACGAGTGGTAAAAGGTGAATAATCAAAGATAATTTACACAAACAATACGGGGGTAAAAGAGAAAGTAAAAAAGATAATTTACATGAACAATACGGTGGTAAAAGATAAGTAATTAAAAATAATTTACACAAACAATACGACTTACATCTGTATTTCACTACTAAAAAGGTGCGTTCTCTCAAAACGCCGGCTGAATGCTCTTGTTGTTCGTCCACTTGGTTGTTCTTTCACTAAAAAATTTGAGTGTTGCGTGCAGATCCATTTTACAGAACTGGCTTATATGTGTGCAGACTATTGGTTCCTCGTCTCTCAGACAGAGACACTTTGACCTCTAACAAAGGAAACACCCTAGCTAGCTGTCTTTGACGTATTGCCTTTTAGGGTATATTCCTATTTCCCTCTGAAATATGCTGGGAATCAATACAGGGAATTTGCCTACGTAAATTAATGGATTAACTGCGCCCGTTGTCCGTGAAACTGATCAAGCGTCAGGCTCCACTAGGGACGAGATTCTTTCTCCTAGTTACCCAACTCTCTGGGCTAGACTCCGCGTCGTACCGTGAGTACAAAGGATCGTTTTTTTTTAAAGGAGTTTTAATGAAATTAGTCAATGTGGAATGGCGGAACTGAAAGCGTTGGCTCATCTACACAGTATAAAGGTGTCTAGCTTATGTGAACACGCGCCCTTCACGCCCCAAAAGCAAAATCTCTTGTGAGACTAAATTTAGATGCATATCGCCAAACAAATGATATACACTGTGATCACAACAACAACAACAAAAACAATAACCTTTATATTTTGTTCATAAGCTAGATGCACGCCTGAGGATCGGAAGGTCGCGGGTACGGGTCATGACGGAGGCAGATTTTTTTCTTTAAATATGGCCTTTTAAATATGGTCGACTGAGCCCAAAGTGGGTACCAGGTGCAGTCACGAGAAGTAAAGGCAGCCGGCGTGATGCTGACCACATCACCCATCAAGTGCTGACTGGTCTATAAAACTATACATTTATCCCTATATACCCAATACGCCTAAAAAGAGGGAAAAGGTTCAAATGTTGAAGAAAAAACCTTCTTTAAGAATGTGAATATCGGGCTACGAATTTCTCGTCACATAAATAAATAAAGACAGAACCCTTGAGGACGTGTAAATATTATATATATATATAAAAAAAAAACAGATAGTGTATTGATTGACACTATAGAAATAAGAAAAGCCATAGATGGGCCACACTAGACAACAAAAACACAGAATTATAGCTTTCCATTTGTATGTTGTCTAGTGTGGCCCATCTATCGCTTTACTTCTTTCTATGAGTGTCAGTCAATACATTATCTATTTGTTTTACACATATATATGTTTATTTTATATGTTCTATTTAAATATATATATATATATATATATATATATATATATATATATATATATATATATATATATATATATCGTCACGGTGCGTTTATCCGCCTGTACGTGATGTTGTACCACAGCTGTACGTTTGCTAATTCGTCATCTTCACAATGGCGTTTACTGAAAAGGTTAAAATTGCGATAAAACTTCTTTGAAACAACAAAAGTTATAAAGCAAAACACATTCTTAAGGAATTTCCAATCGAAGGATGGAGCTGGTTCTCTCACTTTCTGCGACAGTTCGACGTAACCGGCAGTGTTAAACGTTTGAAAGGCAGCGGCCAGAAACAGACTGTGAGCCAGACAGCGGCCAGAAACAGACTGTGAGCCAGACAGCGACCAGAAACAGACTGTGAGCCAGACAGCGGCCAGAAACAGACTGTGGGCCAGACAGTGGCTAGAAACAGACTGTGAGCCAGACAGCGGCCAGAAACAGACTGTGAGCCAGACAGCGGCCAGAAACAGACTGTGGGCCAGACAGCGGCTAGAAACAGACTGTGAGCCAGACAGCGGCAAGAAACAGATTGTGAGCTAGACAGCGGCCAGAAACAGATTGTGAGCCAGAGAGCGGCCAGAAACATACTGTGAGCCAGACAGCGGCCAGAAACAGATTGTGAGCCAGACAGCGGCCAGAAACAGATTGTGGGCCAGACAGCGTCCAGAAACAGTCTGTGGGCCAGACAGCGGCCAGAAACTGACTGTGAGACAGACAGTGGCTAGAAACAGACTGTGAGCCAGACAGCGGCCAGAAACAGATTGTGAGGTAGACAGCGGCCAGAAACAGATTGTGAGCCAGACAGCGGCCAGAAAAAGATTGTGAGCCAGACAGCGGCCAGAAACAGATTGTGGGCCAGACAGCGGCCAGAAACAGACTGTTAGCCAGACAGCGGCCAGAAACAGATTGTTAGCCAGACAGCGTCCAGAAACAGACTGTGAGCCAGACAGCGGCCAGAAACAGATTGTGAGGTAGACAGCGTCCAGAAACAGACTGTGAGCCAGACAGCGGCCAGAAACTGACTGTGAGCCAGACAGCGTCCAGAAACTGACTGTGAGCCAGACAGCGTCCAGAAACAGACTGTGAGCCAGACAGCGGCCAGAAACAGATTGTGAGGTAGACAGCGGTCAGAAACAGATTGTGAGCCAGACAGCGGCCAGAAACAGATTGTGAGCCAGACAGCGGCCAGAAACAGATTGTGGGCCAGACAGCGGCCAGAAACAGATTGTGAGCCAGACAGCGGCCAGAAACAGATTGTTAGCCAGACAGCGGCCAGAAACAGATTGTTAGCCAGACAGCGTCCAGAAACAGACTGTGAGCCAGACAGCGGCCAGAAACAGATTGTGAGGTAGACCAAAGCATCATAAACGCGGCTGTGAAAAGTGGCTAATCCGGCTAGAAGCATGCGTTGAAGCCGGCGGTGGCTGTGTGAGAACTTATTTTAATATCCAAAAAGTAAGCCAACATTTCGTCAACACTTGTGGCAAAGTTTGTAATAAACACGTGATATTTTTGAAATAATAATTTAAAAAAAAAGTGAGTATCTCGTGATGTTTTGGGATATGTGTATCTCGTGATGTTTTGGGATATGTGTATCTCGTGATTGTTTTGGGATATGTGTATCTCGTGATTGTTTTGGGATATGTGTATCTCGTGATTGTTTTGGGATATGTGTATCTCGTGATTGTTTTGGAGTATGTGTATCTCGTGATGTTTTAGGATATGTATATCCCGTGATTGTTTTGGGATATGTGTATCTCTTGATTGTTTTGGGATATGTGTATCTCGTGATTGTTTTAGGAAATGCGTATCTCGTGATGTTCTGGGATTTGTGTATCTCGTGATGTTTTGGGATTTGTGTATCTCGTGATGTTTTGGGATTTGTGTATCTCGTGATGTTTTGGGATTTGTGTATCTCGTGACCATCTGTTACCTGTTAAAGTATATATGTGGGTAGCCACCAGACACATACGTGACGGCCTGGAGTTCAAAGGGCAGGTCCATAGAAGCAAAGACTGGGTTGTAACCGAAACTGGAGTAGAACATAGTGATTACACAGCCAAGGTCTGCAACAGCCAAACCTGGGGACATTAGATGTGTTTCCATGTTTGATCCTGTCAGTCAAGACATTCAACAAGTAGACGTTGGCACATGAAAACAACCTTTAATCTCACATTTCGAGATATGATATTGGTTAACACAAACGTATTAAACTATACTTGAGCTCATCAATCGAGAAAAATTTGCAGTAAGACGTAACGGAGAAGAACTGCCGAATCTATGTGCAGAACATGACTTGATTATCATTACAACATCCAAGAAGTCAGATACTAATATGGTATAGATAGACCAACTTAAATTAAGCATCACAGATTGATTTTATTTTGACGAGAAGGAGAGAGAGATAGAGAATTGAGAATTTCAGAGCCAACCCAAATGCACTAATAGATTCAGACCATAAACCAGTGGTACTATCGCTTCATAAACCAGCTGGAATACACCCCAAGAAACCAGTTCAACAAGCAGAGGTAAATTGCAATTTGAAACGAAATCTTAAAGAAGTTTTAAAGGAAATAGGTAGAGCAGTCATAATGCTTGTCAACACCCTTACAGAAGATATCAACATAGAAAATAAGTGGCAGACTTTTTGTAACAATACGCGCGGTGACTCCAGAATGTCTTTCCTCAACCTACTTTTATTTCTTTGTATTTTGAAAGTATACAGGAAAATAGGGATTTGGATACATCCTTAATGACGACCACATCAAACCTTAAATTCTCCTGGACCGTTGGTCATATCAAACACTACAACTTTTTCCCAGATGTTAAGTGTTAAGGTACAGAGATAAGACTGACCAAGCAGACCTACTGACTGGAGATTTGCACACCATTTGTGGTGTCAGATAGTTATTCCCCCTGCCAGATCTTCAGGAACAGATAACAAGGGCTAATTGCCATTATCTCCCCCTGAGGTTACCTAAACTGGATTGCCGGTCAGATCGTCAATATGGACACAGTGAGCGGAAAGTGTTAACAGAAGAATTGACACCGTCTGATTTTATTGTGATGGCAGGTGAAGTAGACTGGAGGTGTGACTAGGCCTATTAGCTGGGACCAGCTTAATTGAACCTGTAGAATGTGAGCGTGGGAATTCAAACAATTGTTGTACAGTCACTGACTGACAGTGAATATACACCCACAGGGAGGAGCTGTGATATCCCTGAATGAGAATGATTTTAGGCGTAATGTAGGAGGAGCTTGATAAAAGTTATAAAGGGGTGAACTATAGGTCTGGTAAATGAGATCCTGTCGAGCACATGCCATCTGTTGGGCTTAACCTAAGCTTGAGACAGAACTTTTGGCATTGTGGTTTCATTTTTCCAGGTAAGATCGAAATTAGGTTCAAATCTATATTTTATGATAGAGATCTAACTGTCTTTTTACTCAAGTGTGTGTCTTCATCACTTTGTAGTACTCCTAGGCGGACATTTCTTCATTCTCGTAGGGCACTGTCACATTGCTTTATTTCCTATTTGATAGTGTCATGAATGTTTTTCGTGTACATGTGTTTCAATGTTGTAAAACCTAAATGTTGTTGTTGCCATTGAAATTTAATGAACTATCATGTTTTTGAAATCACAAGCGTGAAGATAACTTTGGCAATCTTTTCACGGGTGGTTAATGTGAATCTGTATTACATACAGCTTACACACTGAAATGTGTTTAACTCTCGGGAGGCTAATGCGGAGATTGATCCCGGAGAGAAAATCCTTGAGATTTGGTATTTGATTCGCCTCAGAAATATTGTTAGCTTTCTGGGCGCGTCCATTGTTCCAAGCATAGATTCCAGAACTGGTTCTGTCTGACTGATTGTCATTTTGAGTCTGTACGAGAGATGGCACCTGACGTAGAAGACTTGACTATCATTACAGGACGTGTAGAGGAAGGCAGAAGATGTAACAGTTGGAATGTGAGACATAAGCCCTTCCAAATTGGACAGGAGTGAATGTGAGCATGAGGGAGAGATGAAATGTTTTATTTAAAAAACATGCTTGATGTTAGTATAATATACATGCTTAGTGTACATCTAGAGCAGATACTACAAATATGCGCTTGTTTCTTCATTCTCCAGTTCCCACATTGGGCAGGGACTAGTAGGCATCCATTATTTGCCGACCGTCGAGTGTAACGACCTGCAGAAAGCAGTGAGGACGACAAACTGGAAAAGATAGGCAGGGTCTCAAGCCGAGAACTGTCCTGATGAGCTAAGTTATGTACAACTTTAATGTCATCTATAACATCATCCCAACTCTACTAGCCTAAACAAGTTCATTTTATTTTAGTCAGATTTATTAAATAAATCTTTGTGATGTTGTTACAACAGAGTTAAGTAAATTGTGTACTTAGGTTCAAGTGTCTTTGTGCATATTAGTTTACTTCAGCTAACAAATATTTAAATCACTTGATGGGGGCTTTTAAGTAATGCCAGGAGAGGAGACCAGTCGCAGGGGTTAACTGAGCACCTGGATTATATCACAGTGGGGTTATCCAGATATCTATCTATCCCTTCTCCTTCTCCTGTGGATACAAGTACAGCAACTTTCATTTCATGGAACGAGCCACTCGCTGTTTTCTTGGCTATCCAGGACTGTCTAGGATCAACATAGCTTAGATAATAGTCCAGTTTCTCACGTGGGTGGGCATTGTTAAGGTTCAAACCCACACCCTCACTATTTCAGTGTATTTACCCACGTGGGCGCGCGACACTTTTAAAACCTGCATTCTGAACACAGTGAAAGAAAACAGTGGTCTTAAAAAGTTGGGCACTCATAGAACACATACCATTTTATAGAATGAAGATGTTAAAATTTATATCCAGGAAAAAGAACAATGTTTTAAATAAGTGGGAGAAGACAAAATCAGATGAAGACTACATCAGCTATAGAAAATCGAGAAGAGACAGCAACAGGAAAGTAAAAGCGGCAAAATCATAATCTTGGAGAGACTATGGAGAACAAGTAGCAACAATATGCACTGAGTCAAAGAGAAAGTTTACAGAAGTGTCAAAGCAATTTTACACTACTATTTTTGTTTCTAGTATATGTTCTTAACAAGTCTATGATCTTTCCTAATAATTTAAAGATTTATAAGTGATTGCTACACACATGCAAGAAAGATAATAGCTATACTCACAGGTAAACAAATGACATACACATATGACCAAGGAAACATACCTAGTAAGCTTATGTTGATACTGTCCTTGAAACCTTGTTTCACAAAAACAATAATGTTTGCAATGTTGGCGCCAATGCCGAACAGACTAATGATTCCACACAGAGTCACGTAGGTCAGCAACTGGACCACCTGGCGCACCTCCTTGCTGACCGGGTCAGTCATCTTATTGTCCATAACTGTTAGGGTGTTGTCCTTGCTTTGTTCGTGGCTCGTGGTGATTGTCTGATCCATGAGACTCTGGGTTAGTTAGATACACTCACAGTCTAGCCACTACAATGAGTTATAAATGTTGGCTTAAACAGCTAATTCTGAGGAAAGCGAAAGTAGGGAATTTCTAAAGTTACACCTAACAATAAAAACAATGGGAAACATATGCAGTCACTAAACTTCTACAACCAGTAAACTTCTGCAACCACTAAACTTCTGCAACCACTAAACTTCACCCACTACGAAACCCCTCATAACATAAAGTCAAAGAAAAATGTCCCTTTTCCCTACAATCCTATAACTGCATAACTCCCTCAGGCCGTGAAGTTTTGGTTTAGTGCAGTCAAACTGTCGAGTACAAAGCATTTAACACATTAACTCACTGAAACAGAAATGATTACACTAACAGTTCGGTTATAATAAGTTAAAGTGACACATGTCTCTAATGGAACAGAGTTGTCATGTATACCGTTTTCTGATTATCTAATAATATATACTGAGAAGTATCAGGGATGCAAGCAGGAGTAACTGTAGTCAAGTTAGTATCACGAGATGTGTCCAGTGATCTGTGATTAACAAGCTAAACGAAGATGGGATCGAGAGATCTCGCGCAGAAACAAATGGCCATTTAAGCAGCAGTTTTTAATGACGAACAGCCACAACAATAGTTGAGCAAATAAAGTACCCCCCCCTCCCCCCCCCCCCTATCCACCCCCCCCCCCCCCCCCCTCCCCCCACCCCCCCCCCCAAAAAAAAGTACTGAAAATAAAAGTAAAGGATAAGCCTTCAAGCAGTACAGCTCATTTTGTCCATGCCCCTGTCAGCAGGCTTCGGTTGCTAATTTGTGAGCAAGCAACCTTACTTAGAACGCTCTTCTAACAACGCCACACCAGATACTGGACATTCATCTTGCCGTCATATAGGGAGACATCTGACCAGGAATCCAGGGTGCAGGGAAAGCCAGGCTTGAGATAAGGTAGGATCAACAGGAAAAGAGGAGTGATGGAGATAAACAGATGGACAAATAGATGACATTGGAGCGAGAAATCGTTTGGGCTTTTTCAAGATGGAAAAAAAAAAAAAACGAAGTAACGAGAAATTAAAGAAGAAGAAGAGAAGTAGGTCAAGAGGGCAGTTTGTCTAAAGGCGTTGAGCTGGGCGGTCGACAGACACGGTAGCTTGTGAACAAAGAAGTTTACTGTATGGCTGAGAGTTAACCAAATAGAAAACAAATATTAGACTTGGAGTGACATTGTGTTTTATAATAAGCAAGCTTAACTGCACTGGATTTGTTGGATCTCTGGCCGTATTGTTAATTACAATAGACATACAAACATTGCCTTTTTACTTCATTCCGTTTAGGAACATCTGATTGAGCATGGGGAATGTGGAAGGTAAATTAGTACCACAAAATAGTGCCACACTTAGGACCTTGAATTTGTATCAGTTAGAAATATCAGAGAAAGGCAACTTCCATATCTTGAAACCGTTAGATAATAATGTGTTGGACGTTGTCTACCGACTACGCTAACTTGTCTCCCAAAAACATGCACTCAGTTAATTTTATGTTAGGGTACAGAGACAATAAGAGTGAGCGCAGAGGAGGAAGAAGTAGAGAATCAACGTTATAAAAATTTATATTTTCAAAAGTAAAAACTAATTTTACGAAACAGACCTTTCAAATGACAAAGTTATCAAAGAAAACAGAACAGTAAGATGCATAGCTCTAAAAATGGGAACACTGTAGATATCGACCATCAATTTTAAGTTAACAAATAACAAGTGGGGAAAACAGCTGGTTTCAATCTAGAAAGAAGAAAAGAAAGAAAGTAATGACAGAAACTACCCTAGTTGCTAGTCCTGTAAAAATCCCATATGTCATCATTTATAACTGGTATGTGTATTGTACCGGATAAACTTGAAATGGTTTTCACTAAAGCCATGAACAAACCCTTGAACTGTTTAGCCGAGTCTGAAAAAATACGTACCCATAGGAACTACAATACTATTATAGTTCCTATGCGTATTATTAATTTATGATTAATAATTAAGTTTTTTAAATATAATTATTATTAATATTATTATTAATTAATTTTCATTTCATATATTATTATAATATACATAATTAATTTAATAATATATTATCATTATAAATAGGAAGGACACAGTACTCGGCGCCATATAGTGTACCAAATATGTGACTACAAGTGACGCCAAGTTGATTAATTGCAGACTGTTGCCGTCACTCAGGATGTTGCTACTCGAAGTCACAGTGGTGATTGTAACAGTCACCCATATTTGTATGTATGTAAATAAACAGCTTTATCTGTAAAAGATAAATATTATATATGTACCAGCAAAAACATCAAAGATATTAACAGCGGGGAATTGACAGTAAGAAGCAACACAATTTATAATCTGTTTAAATCATGAGAACAAATAAACTGAAATGGTTAGGCCATTTTGAGAAAATGTCAGATGACAAAGAAGTGAAAACTGTATACACAAGGGAGGTGAATGGTCGTAGACCAATAGACATACTTAGAAGACGGTGGAGAGATAATGTCCAGACAGACCTGCAAGCACTTGGTGACGACAGCTGGAAAGAGAAGGCCAACCAGAGAGATAAATGGAGGCGGGTGATATCTGCAGAAATGAACCTAAAGGGCTCGGAATGCTGAAAAAGAAGATGAACATAGCAATAATCCTATTGTGTGCCTGCAAAAAAGGTACAATATCAGTAACACAAATACATTACACAAGTTAAAAGACACTACAACTGTTTAAAAAATATTTGTACCTGTATATATACGCTTCATATGTACCTTTACCTGTATAGATGCGCTTTATATGTACCTCCACGAATAGTACCTGTATATATACGCTTCATATGTACTCTCACGTATCCTAGACAAGGAGAAGTAGGTTTGTCTTTAAGCAATTCTTTTTACGGCCGGTGTTCGAACCCGGGCCGTTCCTGGGGTTCACCCAGCCTCTAGATAATGGGTACCGGAGTTAACACTCTGGGGTAAATGTAGGAACGTCACTTTAGCTACAGGGTCTCGTGTGGACGGCGACACAGGCTGACAATTTCTTATCAGCTGTCCGTACTAGTGGCGAATCACTTATGGTTTTTAACCGTGTGCAATGACACCTTTTTTTATCTTTTTTTTCTGTAAACAATATTAAAAAACAATATATATATATAATATATATATATATATATATATATTATATATATATATATATATATATATATATATAATATATATATATATATATATTTATATATAAAATCCGATATTCATTTTTGTGGCCGTAGATTGGAACATAGATTAAGTCATTCATTCGAATGGTTTCACAATCAGTTAACCAATCGATTCATCTACCGACAGACCAACCCACCAAGAGAGCTGCCCTCAGATCATCCAGACATCTCGAAGGTAATGCATCTTGTCTGTGGTCTGAAAGTCTGACGCTCACTTTGTGAAACAATGCTCATCCTGCTGGGGGGATTGTCACACAGAGGTGGAATATTTGGGCTAGATGAAAGGCAAACTTATCTTTTACAATGTCTCCAAGTGTCATCTTATTATAACCACCTGTTTGCATGTAACATATATTTTTGTATTATCATGTTGCTTTTCTTTGGCGTTTATGCCCAGGAGCTCAGGTGAAGGAGGCAGCCAGGTTTAGAGCCTCAGATCTGGTAGGGTTAAACTGTAGAAAACGAATTATTTTTGTTGTTTAGTTTACTGTAAATTTATATTTTACTTTGTGGATTATTTGAAACTATTTTAGAACATAACCACTGTTTGTTCATATTTTATTTAACTGCACATTTGCCGTCCGCCCTCCTTGTCCACCGGATTTTCATGAGTGTAAATGTGTGTTAATTTGTCTTTGTTGTGTTATTTGTCTTTTTGAAATAACTAATGTCCGGTAAATTTTTTGTTTGGATTTTTATGGCACAATTGTACTTTCCAATAAAAATATACATCTTATTTATATTCAGTATCTTGTACAACTTATTTTTTATTTTATTTTTTTGTATTGTGTAAGCTTGTGTTCTTCTAAAAATGAAATGTTTACGTGTGCATATTTATATGTGTTATTTCCCCCTTTATTACCGTCATCGTGTTCCCTGCTTAGTATTTATCACTTTTGCTGTGTAGGCAG